GTTCGCTCACTGGCTGAGCGTGGTGCTGACAACACCAAGTCAAGGGTTAAGATCCCCGTACCGGTCATCTTTAAAAAAAAAAGGATTATTCCTAAAATATTAGGCAGCTACTACAATAACCATAAATATTTGTTGAATGAAGGGGTAGAACCATAATCATATACCCACAGTGTGAAGATTATGATTTCTAAAGAGTTAACAGTCATTACATAATGAGATTGTTACAAGCTAAGGTGTGAAAATTCTTAAACAGAATTAATGCATTCTTCTTTGATAAACTCAATAAAAATTTTTATAATAATTGACTTTCCCAAATGTTAGTTGGGTGACTAGGTGACTAAAGAAGCAAACAGATAACAGCAGTGCCACCACCTTCTGGGTCGTAGCCCTCCAGATAAATCCATAGAAAAGCATCCCACCAAGTTAAATAACTTTCTTTCCAAGAGAGAAATAGCCAAGTTCATCCCGGGTTCATTAGTACATACCATGACTGTGAGATCGTGTGTGTCCCAGTCTTTTCTTTCACAGATTTTCAGATAACTATACCTCACGTTAGTCAGGTATGTCTTTGGGCAAACAGAAAAGGTCATGTTGATATCTTGGAATTAACCACATCATCAGCGATTATGCGAACTGATAGGAAACCCATGAACATTTCAGAAAAAATAAACTATGCCATCTGTTCATATTTATGTATTCATGTCATGTTTCACATATTAACGCTTTCTAAGATTTTATTCCATTTCTTGCCACTGAAATTTTAGAGGTGGTTTGTTCCTTAGGAAGTAATATCTCTCCGGATGTTTTGAAGTTACACTGGTGAGATGTTAGAATAAGTTTTCTAGTACATTGGCATGAGTATAAATACCAGCTTTAGGGATATCTCACTTACATGGATTGGGAAAGGTCACCCATCTGGAACATGATGTAGAAGAAGGGAACCCATTTATTGGACTCTTCCTGTGTGCCAAGCATACATGTGTCCTCTTAATGCTCATGGCAGCCCTGTGAGGTCGGCAGTAGCAACCTCAGTTCCTTACATAACACTAATGTGAGACTTGGAGAGAACGAGTGATTTATCCA